CTTCCCCGGTACAGAGGTCAGGCTGACAGTACCTCTGTGTTAACTGCTTATCACCTTCAGTCAGTGATGATTTGCTGCTCTGCACCATCTTACCAGATTCTGAATTTGCCATAACAAGGAGCTTTTCACATGTAACTTTCATTACGTATGTCAAACAGGTAATTTTTTGTTTTAGACCCCTAACACAGGGATGTCCAAAGCAGTGCAAGCCCATGCCACTGTCAGCTAGCTTGCTGTGGCTGCAAGAGCAGTCAGACTGCAGCAGCACAGAACTGCATTTCGTTGTCTTGGCAGGCCAGGCAGTCAGTGCTGAATTTGATGCAGCAAGACCTAAACAGTTGCTAGCTGGTTTTGAGGTGTCTCACTGTATTGTAAAGATCAGGGCGAGATAGACTGCCATGGTGGGGGGCTCTCTTCTTACTCATCACGTATGGCTGCTACAATTCTGACTGAAGGTCTCTCGGGTTAACTGAAAACTGAAATATTGTCAGAATACAGTGAAATATCCGGATGTTATTGCAGAGGATGAATACAGGTGGCATTACTTCTGCCAGGTGGCTTCAAATGGAAAGTACAAGAGGAATGGAGATGCATGGTTTTACAGGCTTGGGATGTGATACTGTGAGGCGTTTATAGCTCTCTCCTGTGGTATATTTGGGGGCAGAAGCAGTGTGAGCATACTCATATTGTCTAGTTTAAAAAAGTAGACAACTATCAAATCACATTTATAATTTATTATTAGATTAATTTTAAGTACTGTATTTTTCTTCGCTTTTATAGGTTCTTCCTCTCTAAATAGGTTAGTTTGTATCTTGTCTTTAAGTTTATTATGTTTAAAGTGGTGCGATTTTGTTGAATACAAGTCTCCTCACCTAATGGAACAAAGAGCGAGAGTTAGAGGGCTTCAGATTCCCTGGAACAGGCTGATACCCTTTCATCAGAAGGACCAACCTCAAACAAATGAAGGGAGGGAAAAAGGACCTGTAATTTCCTTGTATTTTTCATGAGTCTGTAATGTGTCCTCTCGTTCCTTCATAAGAACTCCGGTATTTGCCAATAGTTTTCTACTGTAATGGAGAATTTTGTTCTTTTTGATTGCAGAACTTCCTTATGGGTGGGAAAAAATAGAAGATCCTCAATACGGGACATATTATGTTGAGTAAGTGCTAGTTATTAATTTGACATAGTTAGAAATCGAGCAGAAAATATGATACGCAGCGTGTATAGGTTGTAATGCAATGTAAGTATTAAACATGTCCACTAACACATGGTGCACACTTCTGAAGCACTGGCATGTGAGAAGATCCATAGTGTGACCTCACTAACTTACTGGAGTGTATTTGTTTTGGGGTGGGAAAGCAGGTAGCAACCAAAGTAATTTATTAATGGGAATGAGCTGATGTCATTTTTCTTAGCTTTAACAAAGATGGGGTCAGTTGATTTAAGAGTGGCATCTGCTAACTGTAAAAGAGCAAGAGTAATATCTCAGTGCTGTCTCCAAAGAGCCAAGTAAATAAGTACTAAATTGCTGCAAGAGCTCTTCTGAATCTCCTTCAGGTCAGAGTAAATTAAATCTCTCTTTAACCATGGAGAAGAAAATTAATAGAGTTGAAAATGCTGGCTTCAGAGGACAAGCTAACGTTTTTTGACTTTGCAAAGCCAGCACAGGTTTTAAATTCTGCTCAGACTTACTGTTTTTTTTCTACTCTCCTATACTACTCTAGCATATACTAGTAAAAAGGCTGCGTTTGTAGACATTGTAGGTGGATAGAAGCAACATACAATGTCAAGAGAAAAAGCAGATTTTCTCAGTTTTAATCTGTTACAACCTTTTGAAAATTTGCAGAGTGGAAACCCTACCTGATTATTACAGGAAGTAAAATTGTATTGGCTCTTAAAGGAAATCAAGTTGTTGAAAGCAGAAAAATGCTTTCGGTGTTAATTATGATAATTTGTTGTTCATTTCTCCAGAGCATTAATCTGAGATAATAAAAAATAGTATTTGTAGATGTATCTCTTGTGGTTGTCTTTTCTGTGAAATAGGCATAATGCTTTCTGCTGAAATCCTGATGTACTTTTTGTATGTCTACAGTCATATTAATCAGAAAACTCAGTTTGAAAACCCAGTATTGGAAGCCAAAAGAAAAAAACAGCTAGGTCAGACCGACGTTGGCCCTTCAAAATCAGGTATCACTGAATGTTGTGTTCTTTGTCACTAATATCTTTAGCTGCAAGTATACATCATAAGTAACCAATTTTGGAATTCACCAAGGCATTAGCCTTGGTTTTTTGCTGGCCATTTTGGTGTTGCCCTCCTAAATCTGTAGAGCTTTTTGAATGATTTTTATAATGGTAAAATTGAACTGAGACCCTAAGACTCCTTTAAAATGATTTTGATCATGCCAAAGCTGGTTGTCATAAGCAGCTTTTGAATATAGGGAGGGTTAGAAGTGCCAGCTGGAAGATGCAGGTAAAATCACACCTTGTTTTATGCTTTTGATCTACTTTAAGCTTGGTATTCAAGGGCTACAGTGCAAAAGCGAGCTTTAGTTTACACACAGTTTAGTTCCAGCTCTCTTGTAATCTGTAGTAGTGTCTTGAAAAAAACTTTTGACTTTCCCATTCACTTAACTCAGCTGTAAAATGAGTGTAACAGTATCTTGTTTGCTTTACTCCATGACAGTGCTGCACAGGTTAACCAATGTTAACCAAACAAATCATTAACCTTTATGACACCTTAGAAAACAAACGAACAGAAAGACACACTTATCAAAACTAACCTTGGTTTCCTACCTTCATGTCTCTTTGTTGTATAATTCAAAAGGGTCAGAGAAGTCTGTCTTCACTAGAGATCCATCCCAGCTTACCGGAGCACTTATACGGACATCACTGAAAAAAAGTACAATGGGATTTGGCTTTACAATCATTGGAGGGGACAGACCTGATGAGTTTCTCCAGGTGAAGAATGTGTTAAAAGACGGACCGGCTGCACAAGATGGGAGAATTGCACCAGGTAAAGTATTATTTCTCTAAACTTCCATTTCACAGAATCACAGAATCACAGAAACACTAGGTTGGAAAGGACCTTCAAGATCATCAAGTCCAACCATTAATCCAGCGCCACCATGTCCCCTAGACCATGTCCTGAAGCGCCACATCCACACGTTTCTTGAACACTTCCAGAGATGGCGACTCCACCACCTCCCTGGGCAGCCTGTTCCAATGCCTGACCACTCTCTCAGTGAAGAAATTTTTCCTAATATCCAATCTAAACCTCCCCTGGCGCAACTTGAAGCCATTTCCTCTTGTCCTATCGCTAGTTACTTGGGAGAAGAGGCCAACCCCCTCGTCGCCACAACCCCCTTTCAGGTAGTTGTAGAGAGCGATAAGGTCTCCTCTCAGCCTCCTCTTCTCCAGACTAAACAACCCCAGTTCCCTCAGCCGCTCCTCATAAGACTTGTGCTCCAGACCCCTCACCAGCTTCGTTGCCCTTCTCTGGACACGCTCCAGCACCTCAACATCCTTCTTGTAGTGAGGGGCCCAAAACTGAACACAGGATTCAAGCTGCGGCCTCACCAGTGCCGAGTACAGGGGCACAATCACTTCCCTACTCCTGCTGGCCACACTATTCTGTCATGGCCACACTATTCATGTCACTGGCCACACTATTTCCTGTCATGCGTTTAGAGAATGCAACTTCTGAGGCACAGGAGGTTGGATGACTCCATACACTGACTCTGAATACGAACACCTCACTATAAATGCAATAGTTTTCAGATTTGTGAAAGATCTGTGCAGAGCAGTGGCTTGGAAGGAAAAAAAAGCGATGTTCTAGATACAAATCGTAGTTCTGCCTTAGCCAAGACTTTTGATTTCATGGTTGTTTACAGAATGGTATTTTTGTTCCCTCTCTATATGTTAAGTAAAAATAATGCTTTTGAATCCTGGTCCGTGTTTTGCTTTGCTGCTGCCAAAAAACCATAACACCAAATATTAAAATTGCAAAAAACCAGCAGGAATTTTGAGCAAGCGAAGTTGTATGAACTGGGCAAGTGAGGAAACAAGAGGGATGAGGGTACCTGCAATCCATCAAGAATTGCACACTTTTTCATTGTTACTATATGTTTAATTAAGTAACATAACAGTTTACATACTAGAAAAGGCGAAATGCTTCTTTGCATATCATGTAAACTCTCTTTTCAGAGAAGGGAAGTGAGAAGAGTTCATGTGTTCGATGATTTAATACTAGTTGCTTATGAAATGAAACAATTTCCTGTTTTGTTTTTGACCTATTGTTTGAACTTGTTTTTATGCAGTTCATTGTTCTCATTAAAAATGAAGACGATCCTGCAGCATTGTGTTGTGGTGCACACGCACGTTTGAATGAAAAGATCTATATCTGTTTCTGTTGTAGTTCATGTAATAGGGGAGATAGTGTTTTACTGATGCCCAGGCATTTAAACGATAAGACCGTTTGCTTGCTGGGAATATTGTATTGCCCATGCAAAGTTTCATGATCAAAATTACGCAAATTATGAAACAAGGTTTCAGGATCTGAAGCCTACTTCTGCTTCATTTTGAAAATACATGCTTAGCCACGTGTGGCAATAGTGTAAGAATATGGAACGTGTGTGGGCGCAATCCTAGCTTAAGTTCTGCCAGTCCTAAAATAAACATAAGACA